AAAATTTTTAAATATACATTTATTGATTTCTTTTAAAATAAAACAAACTGATTGCATTTTAACAAAACGTCAAATTTTTATGAAAAATAACTCTATGTTCCAAAAACATCATAACTGGGAATGACTGTTTTACATTTTTTTAAATCTCCATAATGACTGGCTTAATAGAAAACAGCTGGATCCTCACATCTGCTCTGCCTTCAGTCTGTTGTAGTATCACATGTCATGGAGTATCGAGAAAATTCTGCTCTACACTTGTGAGATAAATGAGAGACAAGGGGCAAATAACGTCTTCATATTAATTTAGAATTTGTTTGGAACTTGCAGACTGCCTGGAAGTTTCTTGGGGACCCCCAGACAACACTTTGAGAACTGCTGGGCTAGGTACTAGGAAGCCATGGAAGGTTTCTAGAAGGGGAGAGACAGCCTCAACAGTTTCCAGAAGTATCCTCTGGCAGGTGATATGTCTGGTGGACTGAAAGGAGGCAAAGGCCATGGCTGGTCAAGGTCCCACCCAGGGGCAGGAGCTGTTGGGGTGGAGAGCTGGGCTGGGACCAGGGAGAGAGCGTGGCTTCCAGGGAAGGGGTCCCCACGAGAGGAGAGCTGGAGCAGTCCCTCCTGCAGCTTACTCATGCTGAGCCTTTGCTATCCTGGGCCCCCAGACTAGGCTCTGGGGCCAGCGCTGATGGCTCAGGAGCCTGCATTCCATCCTCCTCAGCTTGGGAGTGTTGTAAGAAGAGGCAAGACCTCACCTTTGGTTCCAGAAGAAGGAACAAATTGATTCTCCTTCGCTTGTACCCAAGATCAGCGGGCAAAGTCACATTTGTCCCTATTGTTCTGCAAACGCTTGCCCATCCAACTGACCAATGGGAGCAGGTGTGCTGACAATGGTACCTGTGGATGTGCATTTCACAACCCTGATCAAAGCTTCCAGAGTGTCTCACCCCACAATTCAGAGATCACACTCCTTGGCATTTACCCAAAGGAACCGAAAATATACGTCCACCCAAAAACCTGCACGTGGAGGTTTGAGCAGCTTTATTCATAATTGCCAAAACTTGGAAGAACCAAGATGTCCTTCAGTAGGATAAACTGTGGCCCACCCAGACAGTGGAATATGATGCAGCATTAAAAAGAAATGAGCTATCAACTCATGAAAAGACATGGAGGAACCCTAAATCCATATTACTAGGTTAAAGAAGCCTAGTATACGAAAAGGCTACATACTGGATGATTTCAACTATATGATTTTCTGGAAAGGGCAAAACTATAGAGACAGTAAGAAAAACAAATCAGCATTATCAGGAGTTCAGAAAGAGGGAGGGATGATTTGGTAGAGCACAGAAAATTTTGAGGGCCATGAAACTGTTCTGCATACTGTAATAGTAGATACATGTCATTGCACATTTGTCCAAGCCCATAGGATATACAACACCAAGCACAAACCCTAATATAAACTGTGGACTGTGGGTGATAATGATGTGTCAGTGTGGGCTCATCATTATAACAAATGCCCCACTCTGGCGGGGGTGCTGGTAATGGAGGAGGCTGTGTGTGCATAATGGGCAGGAAGTATATGAGAACTTTTCACTTTCTGCTCAAATTTGCTGTGAACCTAAAACTACTCAGAAAAATAGTCTATTAAAAAGTAAACTAGGGCACCTGGGTGGCACGGTCGCTTAAGCGACCAACCCTTGGTTTCGGCTCAGGTCATGATTTCAGGGTCATGAAATGGGGCCCCACATCAGGCTCCGCACTCAATGGGGAGTCTGCTTGAGATTCTCTCTCCATCTCCCTCTGCCCCTCCCCTCTGTCTAAAATAAATAAATAAAATCTTTAAAAAAAAAAAAAAAACCCTTCAGGGTTGAGGCTCCAAGCCTGGCATTATGTTTCCCCTAGACTCTGACCCCTACCTGCCCTTTCTGCCTCCTCTCCTGGGCTTTCTTGCTTACATTCTACAAAGAGGGGGCATGCGGTGATGTCTTGGTGGGTGGTCATGCCGAAACATCTGCTGGGAACCCCTGCTCTCAAATGACCCACATTAGAATGGCCTTCTGGCTCTAACATGTGTCCATAGGTAGAAAACATACTGCATGAAGCTGAATTGTGATTAAGACCTTGGCTCTAGAGTCTACCTCCTGGGTGTGGGTCTTGGCTCTTCCAGGGGCTGGAAGCACATTACTCAGCTTCTCAGAGTACAGCCTCTTTGCCCATAATGTGAGTGTTGGAGCATCAACCCCTCTTAGGGTTTGAAGAGGATGAAATGAGATGAGGTGTGCAAAGTATGTAGTACGAGGCCTAGGGAGACAGACAAACTTAGACACAGCCCCTAAAAGCTGACAAATTAAAGGAAGAAGCTAATATCCTCAGACCTGGGGTTGAATAGGGGGACAAATGTGCAGCTTTGGAATCAGACTAATTTCTACCAGGGAAATCTGTAACACCTTCTTGGTAAGGGTGAGATTAGAACAAGGCTTCAAAGAATGGGTCCTTCCTTCCTTCATTCATTCTTTTTTTTTTAAGACTTTTTTTTATTATTCATTTGAGACACGGAGATACAGAGAGAGAGAGAGAGCATGAGCAGGGGGAGAGGCAGAGGGAGAGGGAGAAGCAGGCTCCCTGCTGAGCCAGGACCCCAATGCGGAACTCCATCCCAGGACCCTGGGATCATGACCTGAGCTGAAGGCAGACGCTTAACCATCTGAGCCACCCAGGCGCCCCACATTCATTCATTCTTTTAACACAGATTTATGGAGTGTTTGCTACTTTCCATAGGAACAGCGTGAACAAAGGTCCTGTGGCAGGAGGGGTGGGGCATACCAGGGAAACAGTGAGTAGGCAGCATTTAGGGATGGTTGGTGGGAGATCAGCATGACAAGGTCCCCATGGCTTAGACTCTGTGGAACTGTCTGTTCTTTGCCAGAATGGTTAAGTCACTTAATGTGGCAGACAAGAAAGTATACTGTTCAGTCGTCCCTTCGGGAAGACCTGCTGTGAAGAGGTTAGCTGGCTGAGTATTCTCCACATCTGTGTGTATATCCAGCTACACAGAATGAAGACTAGAGAGCAATGAACAGAAGTGCTAGCAGATATTATCTCTAAGTAGAGATATTGCTTTCTTTATGCATTTCTATATTTAAAAATGTTCCCTTGTAAACACAGATCCTGTAAATAATCTGAAATATATGTTTTAATACATTTTTTAAATTAAAGCTTGAGTGGGGTCCCAGCTTTGGGAGCAGATGATGGAGCATATCTGTCCTTCAGGCCTTGAGGAACAAGTCTTCCCAGTGCAACAGAGAACTGTGACTCCCACCCTACAAGGAGGCTTCAGCTCTGCTCTAAAAGGAGGAATTTGGGATGTGGTGTCAAAGTTACAAGCTTGGGCTCAAATCCTGACTCTACTCTAGATTGGTCCTATGATCTTGGGCAACTTTTTCTTCCCTTGAGTCTTGGTTTCCTCATCTATAAAGTGGGACTAATAATAGTCTTTACATCATAAGGATGCTACAAGGATTCCACAAGCATTTGTGAAAACTGCCTGTCAATGCCAGCTACTGTTATTACAGATGGAAAAGCTGAGGACCAGAACGGCCTGGGGAGCTGTCCAGCATCAAACAGCAAGGAATAGGTAGAGCCAGGCTAGACCCCAAGGTTCTCTCAACTGAGGCCAGGGTACATGCACCCTTGCCTCCACTCAGAGCAGACTGGTGGCTTCATCCCTCACTGATGGGACTGGGTCCACCTCACTCATGGCACTCTTCCACTATCAACGTGTCTCCCTCCCTTCTTTCAGGGCCATGAACAAGAATCATGAACACAGGGGTGCCTGGGTGGCTCAGTCGTTAAGCATCTGCCTTCGGCTCAGGTCATGATCCCAGCATCCTGGGATCGAGCCCCACATGGGGCTCCCTGCTCAGCGGGAAGCCTGCTTCTCCCTCTCCCACTCCCCCTGCTTCTGTTCCCTCTCTCGCTGTGTCTCTCTCTGTCAAATAAATAAAGAAAATCTTAAAAAAAAAAAAAAAGTCATGAACACAGTCTCCAGACTCTCTCAATGCTCCCTACCTTCTCTGCCCCTCTGCATTTGGTGAGATTCATGATGTACAGTTTGAAGTATGTTATTGACACATCAGTTGAGTCCCTAACCCCTTAATTCCCCAGGCCTTCTATGCAGGAATGTTTGCTTTGGAGGTATTGGTTGGACATGGTGAGATTGAGGGCTTCTCATCAGTGTCCCAGCTGTCCATCACCCAGTGCCATTCTCCCCAGCAAGGGGGTCACTCACCATTTATAAAGTCTGCCCCACTGTAGAGCCCATCCAGAATCAACTGACAGAGACCCAGGGCATCACAGTGGTCCTGAAACTGACTCTACTTACCTGGGATCCCCACAAGTACTGCCCCAAGATGCTGAAAGTCTCAGGTCTCCTTCTCATCCTCTATGGGCTGTTTGCCCTGCTGTCTGCTCAATATTTGAATAATTGACTCACCTGTGGGTCTGTTATATTGTATATTTTAATTTCCTGGATTTCAGTTCATTTGTCCTGTGTGTGTGTGTGTGTGTGTGAGAGTGTGTGTGCGCATGTGCCCTGTCATTTTTCATTGGATGCTAGACATTATGATAAAAATTATAGAGGATCTGAATGGTGCCATCTTTTTCCAAAGAGGAAGGAAGATAGCCAAAAGACAGAATATAAGTGGATTGCTTTGATTCTGCTGAGGCTTAGATTTATGTTTTATGAGGGTGAAACCTATATATAAGTTGTGTGGCCTTGGGCAGGTGACTTCATCTCTTGGAATCTTCACTTCTTGCTCTATACTGTGAGGAGAAGCATGTCTCCTCTCTGAAACTCACCGGCCCCATCTGTAGAATAAGCCACATGAGTTCTGTAGCCACCATAGACCAAAGCTCTGGGGAGACCCTCTCAAAGAATTCTCTCTCAGAGAATGACCCTGCAGCTGACCCTCTCTGCCTGCTCTCCCACAGGTGCCTGACCCAAGATGCTAAAGGTCTCCGGCCTCTTCATTCTCCTCTGTGGGCTGCTGGCCTCAACCTCTGCTCAAGAGGCCCTGTCCAGAGTTTCTTCTCAGATCACCAATGGTGAGAGTGTCCTGCCTTGGGTCACACCTGGCCTTGTCAGAACCTTAGGCCTCTCCTAAAAGTCTAGACCATGAGCCAATGTGGGTTAAGTTCTAATTAGCATTGTGCCTGGGAGGCAGTTAACATGATTAATTATTAGCCATTCTGATCATCACTACATTACTATATTTAATACTGTTCTCCCAAGATTCCCCTCTTTCCTGTCTCCTTGCCCTGGTCTATCTATTCAAAGGCCCAGCCCCACCTGGACTGGCCCCTGCTCACCTCTCCTACCACCCCCTATTCAGTGGCTCCCCTCCTGCCACAGTAGCCTCTTCCACACATGGAGCACACCCCAGGACCTTAGCACTTGCTGTTCCCTCTGCCTGGAACACTCTTCCACTAACTATCAACGTGGCTCCCTCCCTTCTTTCAAGTCTCTGCTAAAATGTCGCATTTGCAGAAGACATTCCTTGACATCCTTGCATGAATTACTGCCCTCACCCAATATTCTCAATTCCTCAATCTGTCTTTTATTTTTCCCTCATGACAAAAATAGCTTCAGCAGAATGCTTGGTATGGCTGTGGTGGTTAAAATACTGAAATGTTTTTCTAAACTCCTTGGGAAGTAGCCCCTGCCCAAAGACTCCCCAGGTGGTGCCCTCATCACCCCAACCATCCCGCCTTCAGCCCCAGGACTCCAGCCTCCTCACCAACCAAAATCTAATGAGTCAACCCCTGGCACAGCCCAGGAGCCACAGGACCTGGCTACAGAGCTATGGTTGATGTCCTTTCTGATTGGTTGGTGCCTGTGCCCAGCTGGTTGTTGAATATTTTGAAACCAGCCCCTTCACAGCACTTATCTGTATTTAACTCACACATGTCCCTTTACTCACTACTTTATCATCTCTCTTCCCTCATCCCCACCAGAACGCCAGCTCCATGAGGGCAGAGAGTGCTGCCTGTTCTCACAGGTGCAGCCTGCCATGGCTCTGGCACACAGTAGGCCTCTACAAATATTTGCTGAATGACTGCACCTGGAACTTGGCCCAGCACCAAGCAGGCCAGGAAAACTAGGAGTAAGATCCATATGTGGGACATGCTTAGAGGTCAAGGCTGCATCTGAGAATCTTTGGCATCTAAATGTCTAATGGTGGTGGTTGGGGGGGCGGATAGGTTGTTTTTCAGCTTTGACACAAGGACTCCTTGGTACGAACATTCTTTCTGCCCTGCAGACAACTGACTTCCAGGGGTCGCTGAAGAATGTCTTCACCCTTGCAAGAGGCAACCAGGACATCCTGGGTGGCCTGCTCACCAACAGAGATGCCAATTTAATGTGAGTGGTCTCTGATCAGAACCCCCCATGTCTAGACTGTCCTGGTTTGTTGGTTTGTGAGCACCCTCCTGGCATTTTCTGACTCTACGGAGGCCCTTTCCTCAACTAACAGCCCTTCCCCCTCTGATGGACTAAGACCCACTGGTGGAGAGAAATTCCCACTGGGGGTAGAGGCAGAAGCTAGGGAGATGCTGAAGACTTGGGTTCAGTCTCTCTGTCTGGGAAGAGAATGGCTGCTCACTTCCAGTCTCTTCCCCTCTCTGAGACTCAACTCCTACCCCTGTTACATGGGGAACTATAGCATCTGACCCCATGGGACTGTTGTAAATATTAAGTGAAATAATACAGGTCATGTGCTTACACAGCTCCCTGTCCTCAGTAAGCCCCCAGTCAGCAGTACCAGTTATAATAACCTCTGCAGTAAAGATGTGGCAATCACAAAAATCGATGCCATCTGGCCAGCAGAGCCTAGAAGACCCAGGGCCCGGGGCGCCTGGGGGGCTCAGTCGGTTAAGTGTCTGACTGGCTCGGGTCATGATCTCAGGGCCCTGGGATCAAGCCCCATGTCAGGCTCCCCACTTAGCAGGGAGTCTGCTTGTCCCTCTCCCTCTACCCCTCCCCCTGCTCATGCTCTCTCTTCCTCTCCCTCTCAAACAAATAAAATCTTAAAAAAAGAAGACAATGATGACCCAGGGCCCTCTTCTTAGTACGTTCAAAACTGCTGCTGACTCCCACCCCTGTCCCAGCCTACTCCTCCCCCAGCCCAGCCCAGCCCATCCTAACTAATGAAACTCCACCCATCCAGTCGCTCGGACCTAAAATCCTGACATCATCCAATGCCCCTCTCTTCACTCACACCCCCATGCAGCCTGTCCACATACCCTGTCAGCCAGGCACCTGACCATTTTCTGCACCTCCTCTGGTCTGAACCACCACCATCTCCCTCTGACTTATGGTCCCAGGTCCCCTTGCTTCCACAGCAAGCCCCCTCCTCCCCCATTCTGTTCCACCTGTAACCAGAAGCATCCTTCTAAGTCGGCGAGACAATGTAACTCCCTTGCTCAAATCCTCCAATGTCTTCTAGTTGTTCTCAGAACCAAACCCAAAGGTCTTACCAATGGCCCACAGGCCCCCTGCCACCCAGCTCTGACTGTCCCCCCTCCACACACACTGAGCCCATTGCTGTTCCAGCCTCAGGGCCTGTGCACTTTCTCTGTCTTCCGCCTGGCCCTTTCTTCCCCTGGCTATCCTCATACCTGTACCCTAACTTCATTCATGACCCTGCCCCAGTGTCACCTGCTATGAGAAGCCTTCCCTGGTGCTCTAAAATACCACTCCTCCCAGTGTCATCCTCTTCACCTGATCCTGCCAGGCTTTTTCTTCACTGCACCCATCACCTGACACATTATGTATTCACTTACTGCGTTTATTGTTTTACATATATATGCTCTGCCCAAGCATTAGCTGTCTATAGCTTTCCGTCTTCTACTCATTATTTATTCACTCATTTATTCCAGCCTGCTTGGTGTTGGCCAAAGGGCTAGACGTGACCATTCTGTAATGCATTAAGGCAAGAGGTTCTTTTTGCTCAGGACTATATTCCCTGAGCATACCAGCTACGTGATAAATTACATGATTAATGAGTCAGTAACCATCTTTGCATACAGTCAGCTTCTGCTCTGCAGGGGACCTGCCTTTGCCCAAAGCAGGGCCCACCCACGGCTAGAGCCACCTTCCCTGTTATGTTGTTTTTTCACCCAGGGTACAGATCAAAGACCTTCGACTCCTTCAGGTCTGCCTTGAGAACTCCCCTAACTTCAAGGGGGTCGAGTTATGGATACCATTGGCATTTTCCATACAAATAAAGTAAGTAACAGCTGCAAGTCACTGGTAATCCGCTGATGTGTGGGTGTGGGAAGCAGCCATAACTAAAGGGTGTCCAGTGGAAGTCTCATTGTGTGGTTGGGGCAAAAACACCCTCCCTCTCCGGGCCTGGGCCACTCTCTCCGGTAGGATTAGAGCATGGGAATACTTGAATGCTTCCAAGCTGGGGCCTTTCTAGGGAAAGCAGAGCAGGTTGAGCCGGTTTCCTTTCTCTGCTTTATCCAGAGAGCCCCACCCTCATTTATTTGGACTTCCTGAGCCCACCTACCTCGGTTTGAATACAACTTAAGACAAGGACACAGAATCTGCTCTAGACCCCAATGCCCCTTGGCACCATTGCCTAGAGATTGTGCACAGATGTGTTTTGTTCGGTCTGCACGGTGCATCTTCAGGGAGAACAGGCATTCTTCAGTTCATCCCAGCTGTCACCCCTCTCTGTGAAAACCAGTCCCTGGTCTCCCTTACTCATTTCCAGCTCAAGCCTGGCCCTGGAGGTCATGGAGTTTGTGACCTCTAGAAAAGTACTTTCCAAAGTCACAGTTTCTCAGTTTTGATAGGATCCTATACTTAGAATCAACCACTTCCTTTCTAACTGTCCCTTGAGCCAGAGATAGGGGGTATCAGTTATACACCCTGAACACAGACCTACCTGGCTTCGCCACTGGCTGGATGCACGACTTGGAGAAAGCCATCCCCGTTCTCCCGAATCACCTCTTTTGAAAAATGAGGAAATGATCTTCACAGGGTGATTTTGAGGGTCCTCCACAAACATGGGGGAACTCTCATTCTGGAAACAAATGGCAGGAATTAAGCTCTGAGACTTTCTCCCACCAGCCTTCATTCTTCCCTCCCACAGGTTTCCGGCTCTTAATCCCTGCATATTCCATGTACGGACAGATATGATAGTCCAGCTTTATTTGGAGAAGGGTGAAGACAGCAAATACCAACTTGCCTTTGGGCATTGCAGGATTGCACCTGACACTGTATGGATCCAATCCGAAAATTTGTAAGTTCTCCATGATTCTCTCTCTGCATCCAACTGGTTGTGCTGTAGCCCCAAGGAGGCTTCACCTGAAAGACCTCACTAGCAAAACAATCCCTTCTCCAATGAGCCTTTTGTGCATATGGGGATGTGTGTCTTACAAAAAGAACTTCATGTCAGTTAAAATTTTTGCTTATTATGAAAACAATATTTTCACTGGCATGAAAAGAGATTCACTGAATAGTACCAAGGACAAACAAAGCAGCCTCACTCAATTATTGGCTGTTATTTAGGTTATTTCTGAATTTTTTGCTGTTGTAAATAATCCTGAACCTTTCAGTGCAGGAAATTATAGATTCCTAAGATTACTTAAAGAGTATAAACAGTTTTATGACTTTTAAATTTGAAGGTATGTAATAGTTTTAAGGCATTCCAAGTCCCCTACCAAATACCTCGCCAATAGAACTGAAGTGAGGTGTTTCTGGCTGACATTGGTCAAGTTTCACCCCATAGCCAATCTGGACCAATTATTCCCATTTTTACAACTTTTCTCTTCAGTAGGGATTTTCAGCAGAAAATCCCATGGATGCCATTCTCTTGACTACCAGTAAAGCAAGGATTTTACCATCTGTTTATTGGTCTGTGATACCTCCTCTTCAGAGTAACTGTTTTCAGAGGTTTGCCCTTTTACTAAGTGTTATCTTCTAAACTTATAATCTCTCTTTTTTAATCTTCTTTATAAGATTTTTTAAAATTTAGGCTCATGTCCATGATTAACTGAATCCAATAGTCATCACCAATCTATTGTACACTGGGTCTTTTTCATTCATGATTTCTTTATTTTGATTCATCTCCCAGCTGCTCACTTGATCGAGAAAGATCTGAGTGTGGAATCCTTTCTGAGTTCTTACACGTTTGGTAATGTCCTCCTGTCCTGTTCCAGGTAAGGACACCCTTGACTCACAGCCATTCCCCCCAAGGGAAATTCTGTCAGTGTGGCTCTGTATCTTTTTTTGTCTTTTGAGATGTTGAAGGAAACTAGTCTTTCCTTTGAGGGAAATCTGCATCCTCAGGCTGGAAGTGGTAGATTAGCTGATTTATATATAAAGCAAACACTTGGCCTGAGAATGAGATTTACCCTTACCTGTAAGGATTATGGACTGAGTCAGGAATCCGAAGACACATTTACACTGCTATTTCCCCGCTTCTTTCTCTTCTCCCCCAACTGGAGAATATTACACTACTCCTTCCATGAAGGCATGACCATTGGGCTAAGGAGAAAAGTTCTGTTGGAGCATTAGATAATGAGAGGAACAGGAAAGTGCCGGAAAGAGAGTGATCAGGACCTAAAAGCGTGGTAGAAGCTGAAGAGGGAATTCCAGGAGAGAGGAACAAAATAGGCAAGGAGAGGGGGTTCATGGGAAACAATGATGAGGGCAGGATGATTTCAACTGAAAGATTAATTTTAAGGAGCCCTAAGACGTAGGTTGGAGCAGAAGGGCAAGGCTGGGTCATGGAAAGCTGTGGAAACAAGGAGACTTTAAATAATGTGGGGTCAACTGAGCACATAAGTGATGTAAAGAAAGGAGAATTGGGGAAAATTTAATCTGTTCTACTTTCATTCTTCATTTAGCATCACCCCAATGAAACCAATTATTGTGGAAAACGTAGAAAGAGTCCTGGGAGACCTGATAATCAATAATTTGGGAGCAAAAGTAAGTTTATAAACCCAAACTACTTCAGTTTTTTAGTCTAAGACCCAGAGCTTGGTGGACTATATCTTCTTAATAAACTGGAAGGAAACCGGGGCACCTGGGTGGCTTAGTCAGTTAAGTGGCTGCCTTTGGCTCAGGCCATGAGCTTGGGGTCCTGGGATTGAGCCCCACATCGGGCTCTCTGCTTGGTGGGGAGCCTGCTTCTCCCTCTCCCTCTGCCCCTTCCCACAGTTCTTCTTCTCGCTCTCTCCCAAATAAATAAATAAATAAAATCTTTAAAATATATCTATATAAACCGGAAGTAAATCTTTCAGACGGAGAGTTAGGGAGAGAAGAATGGCATTTACCAAGTTCCCATTCTGCAACCAGCATTGGTGAAGTGCTTTACAGATATTATTTAATTCTTCAAGTCAAAATCAGCACCTGTGTCGCTGGAGATAAGTTGATAAGCCTCTCCAAGACTCAGTTTCCTTATCTCTAAAATAAGTATAAGTAATCATAAAATGAACAGCTAATATTCATTAAGCACACAGGCACTGTGCTAAGGAACTTACATGAATTTTCTTATCCTCCAAAACAATCTCATATTCTAAATAACAGTATTATCTCCATTTTCCAGATTTAAGAAAAAGTTCCAGAGATGGCCAATGACTTACCTAAGTCACAGAGCTGCCAAATAGCTCAGCTGACATGTGACCTCTGGGCAGTCTGTCCCCCCAACCCCCCTACTTGGTTGTTCCCTAGGATACATTGTCTTAGAAGGAGAACTTGCCTTGACTGCCCTGTGAATATTCAGCCTCCATTGGTGAAGCCCTCCTCCTGACTCTTGCATACTTTCTTGTCTTTCAGACGTGTCCCTTCATTAATTTGCATCTTTATAATCTGAATCCGCAAGTGACTAACGAACTGATTAGTAAGTGCTGTTGGTGAGAAGACAGAGGACACCCCGGGACAAGGCTCAGACTCCTCCCTCACCCTTTACATCTCCTCTCCCCTGACACTTCTCCCAGACAAAACATCCTGGCCTCCATGAGGCAGAATGGTCCCTGCTAATAATGATCCTCATAAACTCAGGGACCGCTTGCTGAGGGAGTCCTGGGCACCACGCCCAGGGTTAAGCACTCTGCCGCATTGGCCATTGAACCTCCACCACTAGCCAAATACAGGCTGGTTTCAATTCCATTCTGGTCCCAAAGCTGAGACAAGCTGAGATATAAATGGGAGCTTCTCTGGGGAAGAAAAGCTGCCTGATTTTTCATTTACCCTTCTAGATTGGATGGTGTTGCATAATGAGCAGAAAATTGGCCTGGTTTCAGCCCAAAGACTGCTCCCTTCCAGTAGTCTCTACCTCCAGGCACCCGAAGTTTCCAGGTCCAGAAGCCGAAGCAGGCAGCTGGGAATCTGAATCTGAAAACCAATGGGAATTTGAAAACCAACAGAATTTTCTGGGCGTAAAGGACTCTTCCTTCATTCACTGAAGATTCATTAGTCCTATTAAGTGCTAGCTGCTGGGGTTTCTAAAGTTCCTTTAAATATCTCTCCCAGCAAGCACTTTTCTGTCTTCTGCTCACATACCTCCACTGACAGGGAGCTCACTATTTATGAAGGAGGAAGCTTGAGGCAATTAATCTGAATGAGTCTTAAAGCTCCCAAAGTGCAGGTCCCAGATTCTCCCAAAGTAAATGTGAGTGGGGCAGCTTGACCAATACCCTCACTCCGCTGATATTGGGCCACCATTCTGGAGACATGGCCATGGAGACCACCAGCTGCTGTAATGTCAACTTCCTCCACGGTCTTGTTTCAATGTATAGTTCTTAAGTTACTAGCTTGGGAGGGAGCAGTTCTTCCCAGTTTATGGATGAGGAAAACAAGGCCCAGAACCGTCAGTGAAGTGATCAGAGATGCCAGCCACTAAGCAGAGCCTCCAGCTCCAGCCTCATGTCTTCAAGTGTTTGGCTCATTCCTTGACCCTGCTCTGCCCCCATGTGGAGCAGGAGAAAACTCCTTCAGCCTCTCTGATCCTCCTTTACTCCCACTGTCTAAGGTATCTGTTTTGCCTTCTAGGTCTGCTGCTGTAGCAGGGCAGGTACCAAGCCACCATCCAAATATCCCCAAAGTAAAGAAGCCATGGTTGTGCCAATCTGGTGAGAGATCAGAGCATATTTCCATTCCTTAGTGATGGCACTTGGTCTTTAGGGTCATTATAAATGGGTCGTTCGTTCATTCTTAAAATGTCAGTGAAGCTTCTACTATGCACTAACTGCTAGGGATATGGCCCTGAACAACACAAGACTCTGTTCTCCTGGAGTTTCTATCCTAGTTGGGTGTACTGACAATGAACTAGTAAATAAATGCATAGTCAACTAAATTTCAGAGGATGGTGGGTACTGTAAAGGAAACCAAGTACGGTGTGAGAGAGTGACGGGAAGGAGGCATCAAATTAAGAGAGTAGAGTCAGGCAGAAAGCTCTGTGAGATCTTTCGGCTGAGCCATGAACAATAAGGCAGGAGTTGTGCCAGGACCGAGGGGAAGAACACCACAGACAGGAGGATGAGCATGTGCAAAAGCCCTGAAGCAGGAATGAGTTTTCCTTTCAGAAGCAAGAAAGGAGAGCAATGTGACTGGATGTGGAAGGGGCTCAGCCATACAAGGCATCTTTCTGTAAAAAGAGTTTTATTTATGTATTCTGTATTTATTTGTAACTATTCTATGTTGAATACACTCTGCTCAAGTGTCATCATCTCAGGTCTCTCAAAAAAAAGCATATCTCCCACTCTCTTCCCTCCTTAATTTTCTTCATAAAATTCATTATTATCTGACTTTTTACTAGACTGTTTCTTTTCTGTCTCCACTACTAGAATGTATATTTCATGCAAGAAAGGACTTTTTCTTATTCCCTGTTGTATCCCAGGTACCAGCATTACAAAAATGAATTAGACATAGCCCTAAGAGTCCCCAGCCTAGTAAAGGGTCAAACAAATAAACAGGCAATTTTACATGCAGTAAAGTGTTCTGGTTGGGAGTCTGTGGAAGCAGAGAGGCAAGATCCAGCAGCATTGCCTGGGGACTTCCATGAGGACTTCAAGAGGACGCAGGATTTAAACTGGATGTTGAAGAATGATTAAGAGTTTTCTTTATGGGGGAAAAAAAAAACATTAAAAGCAGAGGATACATGATGTGCAAATACACAGGAGTAGGAAAGGACCTGATGCTCTGAACAATGGGCAGAAGCTCTAGGTGACTGGTCATATGAGTCATGGAGGATGAGGGAATGAGTGGTAAGGATAAGTTTGTAGCAAACTATACACATGCTTTCTGAGAACAAGGGTTCATGTGATGGGTTGAGCCACCAAGAAGAAGGTGCAGTCCATGAAAGGAAATGTAAGAAATCGAATGGCCAACAATATAATTGAATCTATGTCTTTGGGTTGATAGCTTAGTTATGTAAGATTCTAAACTAATGCTGTCCAATAGAAATATAACACAAAATACACATGTAACTTAGAATTTTCTAGTGATGAAATTTTTAAAAGGAAAAGGAAACAGATTACATTTATAGCAATATATTTCATTTGTCAAATATATCCAAAATATTATCATGTCAACATTTAATCAATATAAAATTATTAATGAAATATTTTACCTCCTATTTTTTGTGCTAAGTCTTTGATATCTGGTGTGTATATCATACTTATAGAACATTTCAGTTTGGACTAGCTGCAACTGAAGTGCTCAACATCCACGTATGGCTAGTGGCTGCCATACTGGACAATGCAGTTCTAACTAACTTGTTGCCAATTGCAGCACTTTGAAAAGCCTAGAGCATCTCATTTTATACCCACCAATATATCTGGGCTGCCGTCTATCACTGCAGCTCCAAACTGTGTCCCCATGTCATATTCAGTCTACATATTTGGTTCAACCTAGAAAGTATTTTATAAATGTGACTGTGTTGCCAATATTAAAAGTAAGAAATATGTCCTTTGATCAAGCAGGACATTTGGCAGTATTTTACATCCTTGTGTCATGAAGTAAGTCAAGGTGACAAGGAAAATCCATCATAGTTGATGAGAGACACTACAGGGAACAGAATTTTTTATCCAGGGATAGGCAGTGGCTGGATGTCCAGACTGGAAGATGATTCAGCACCATGGATAGTGGACAGCATTACAAGGGAAGTGAGCTAGGCGCGAGGAAGAGGCTCTAAGCTCTGGTTTACACCCCCCTTAAAGAGGGGTACGAGGTTGACTAATATCTTTATTATATCACACAAAATCAGGTCCCGCTTGCTGATCTCCTCCTTGGAATGTCCTCCACACTCCAGACCATCACCTATATAGATGTTCATGTTGATTATTCAGATGCCACCTGGAGTTTCTTTACCCACCCTGGACTCCAGGGATCTCCCCTACTTCTCTGAATAGACGCTATTTCCCTGTAACTCCCCACCAGAATCCATGTGCTGATTCCCTGTAATTTTTTCACAATAAACTTGTTTTTTGCAGCTCTGAACTGCGGGATGTCCTGCCTCCGTAGTGCCATGTGAGCGAGGGGGAAAGATAGCCAGAGATGGCAGTGGGTCTGATCATGATGACAAAAGTTTGCAGAGTGGGGGAGGATTCCTAGGTTAATTTAGCCTTTATTTCAGAAATACCTCAACACTCTGGCCTGGGGTTTCCCAAAAACTAAGGAACAAGTCTTTCTGTCTTGTCTGAGATATTTTCTGGATGATTCTGTGACCTTGGGTAGCTTGGCCACAATCTCCTTACTGTGAAGTGAGAGTTTTGGTCTCATCCAATAGGTCCCTTAGGCAACCTGCAAAGTTGTGGTTTATGGAAGAAAACTTCTCTCGGCCCTGGTAATCCCATTTTTCTTCCCTCTATCGCCAAACTTCTCAAGAGAGATACTGCTATCCATTGTTTCTACTTCCTCACCTTTATCCAGTGCTCAATTTTGGATAATCTGGCTATGCCCCCAACTCAAGATAACTTACTTTAGGTCATCTATGACTTCCTTCATGGCCAACACCAGTGAGCCCTTATTCAGTGTTCATGTTCCTCAAGTCATTAGCAATTAACTTTGCATGACCACTCCAAACTGCTCCCCCTCCTCTTTTTCTCCTTATCACTACCTCGATTCATGCCTGGCACCCTTCTGTGCATACATACATTACATCACTTACTCTTTTAAATAAATTGTGGTGGTTATTAAGCTTTTATCTCTTGGTTACATATCTATATTTCTGTACTCTTGTTTTGCAGTGCTGAGTCTGGGACTCTGAAAACCACCTGTCTTCTTTACTGGTTTGCTCCTTTGTTAGGATCCTTTAATGGAGGAAGATTGCAAGGCCGAAGGAGGAGAAAAGAAAACTCTTGTCTCCTGTTTGCTTCCTCTTCCTCTAAGCATCACCGGGCAATGGCTTTTCACCCAATCAGGGGAAGTTGGTTTCAGTTTACAAGTTGTTAGCTTTTGTTTTTGTTTTTTTAATGCTCCGAAACCAGCTTTATTATGTTCCTCAGAATACTGCACCAGCCAACAGGAGCCCCTTTTTCAGAAGTCTGCTTCCCAGTTGCATGAAGTTTCTCCTCCAAGATCCTTAAAACTCATCCCAACCACTCTTTGTTGCCAGTAGACCCATAACTTGGTTCAGATCTCAGCATGCTCCAAGGGGACAAGAATAAAGATTAAACAACTTACTCAAAATAATTACTTTTTTTGTTAATTTATATCAGCAGACATGGGGAATATGTATAGCAACTGATGTGAAAATGTTAGGGTTCAGGAGCGAACGGTCAAGAAAGAATTCTTGAGATGTCTTCAGTGCAAAAAGGTAGTTTTATTAAATCATGGGGACAGGACCCGTGGACAGTAAAAGCTTCACTGGGGTTGTGAGGAGTGACTGATTATATACTTTCAATATAAGGGGGCTATGGATAGCTTAAGTCTCTAAGGAGTTTGGAAGCAAAGTTTCCAGGACCTTGAAGGACTAGCTGTTGTTAGGAAAAGGTCATTTACTACTGTCTAGTAAAACCCTAGTCCACTAGACTCTTAAGATGTATATCAGTGGGCCATATGCTTGGAGGATGATGGCTAACATATATCTTAGGGGGTAGTGATAACAGAAGTTTCCAAAGGGATTTTTATATGTTGAAGAAGATTTACAGGATCCTGGGGGTTAGGCGACTGTTAGGTTAAGGTTGCCTTTTGCCTCTGGCAAAGTATTAACACCAAGGCAGCTAAACTCCTTCAGGAAGGTCACTCTGCCAGTCCCAAGTACTTGTCAATAGGCTGTAAGTTATAAGGAAGTTTAATTCTTTTTCTTTTGCCTTTGTTCTCCGATGAGGGAGTAGAAGGCTAGCTGAAGACAAAGCACAAGCTGACACCTGCAACCTCCCCTCACCCCCACTCCCAGGTGGGACATGTGTGACATTCTTCCAGGAATCTCCCAACTATCTTAATGTTAATACCTTGCTAGTGGGGAAAACAACCTTAACTTGACAATGGCGAGGCCGCCAGTATCTTGTAGGTCCTCTTTAGCATATGAAAGTTCTTTTGAAACCTCCCTTTTCCTTACTTCCCAACTCCCAAGAATATAACCACTGCTCCTCACGATCCCAGTGCAGCAGCTCTTTCTGTCCTCCAGTCCTGTCCCCAGGCTTTAATAAAACCACCATTTTGCATCAAAGACGTCTCAAGAATTCTTTCTTGGCCCTTGGCTCCAGACCTCACCCCACCAAACCTCACCTATATTCCAAAACCACATCATTCTCCACATCAGCAATTGATTCTAAATATGTCAGACCAAATAAAATATAAACTGGGTTGCTCCTAACTAATGGATGGGTACCTTTATCAAAGATTCTGGATTTAATATTAGATCACAGCTGAAAATGGCTTTGATAACTTACTGTGTTGGTTACTGGAAAATAAACTCAAAAATGGCCTTCATTCCATGAGGCTGAGAACTTTCCAGGTTCGGTATAAGTAAGGAATCCAAAGGCTTGGGGAGACTGGACTGTTGGAGTGGATTTATCTTTTGCCAACACATGTGACCCCACCATTACTTTTCCTGAGAGGA